TGATCGCCCAGGAGATATCGCTGACGCTTTCCATACTTTCTTTGCCCTCGCAGCCTTGGGAATGATGCATTCAGACAAACACCTCAAGCGACTACATCCGGTTGTGGCACTGCCCGACGACGTTGCTACTCGGCTCATTGTTTCAAAATGCTCATACAGCCAGGCCAAGAAGCAGCAACAGCTTCATGTTGAGTCTTGATGACTCAACTCCTCAAGGCATAGGACTTTCTATGCGAAATGTTTGCTGTTTTGCTTCGTCAGATGTGAGAAAGCTTTCAGGCAAATCACGACAAGGTTGACGCGCAGAAGGAATTGAGCGCATATTTCCACTTATTATTTAAATGTTTCAATGATGTCAAAGCGTAGAAGATGCCTGAAAGCTATTCTTATATATGACAGACAGTGCAGATTTGCATCGTTTGGAAATTCGTGTATCTGCCAACGAAGCAAATCTGCGTTGTGGGCATTTTGCCGACAACCGACGATATATGTAGGCATATTTCGTTGGTTTCATCATTTTTGAGGCCTCTAGCTACCTGTCTTGAACTCGAGAGCTCTTCTTTAGCTCGTGGCTGGGGCATGTAGGGTGAATGGTGAATATCAGACATTTGCTCGGCGACGCATTAAAAAAATTTCCCCTTTAAAGACCTCTCGGTCGTGTTAGTTGCGTCAGTCTAGGGGATAAAGACTTCAGCGAAACGGTTCCAGGCCCCCGGTCTAGACAACCGGAGTACTTGGCAAAAAAAGCAAAATAAGACTTTCTGCAAGGCCTACGTCGCTCGGCTTTTGCTCGGTCGCTGCCTTCCGGCTAGCAGCCATCTCGAGCACGGTTGACGGAGTGCAAAAGATTATGTGCTGCTTTGGCTGCAACTGCTGTGCTCGCTGAGGCCAGTCAGTTCGGCCACGTCATTTGGGTACAAGGGGAGGCGTTTCGCCAACCTGGACCTCCCGTAACAGGGGAGAAGGTCCGTCGTCTCTTGCTGCAAACACACAGAAAAATCACAGAACTCCTGCACTTATAATGACTCGAAATCATTGAATGAGGTTCTTCGTGAAGGGTACTGAAGGGCAAGCAAATGCAAAAGGGTACAGTCAACTACTGCATACCTGCAGATTCCGAACCGTGGCGACTGTCAATTTTGTAAGTCAGGTGGAGGAATCCGTAGGCCACCAGAGTGAGTAGCCAAGGCCCAACAGTCATGCAAAGCATAGATAAGGCTATGGCACGGGCGTTGCCGAGTCGCAGCGCCGCAGATGGTGTCTTGAGAGGCCCCGTCGACGTCATCTTGACATAGCCAAAGACGTTCTCGCACAAAAAGCCAACTATAGGAGCTCCCAGCGCAGCAGCTCCGACACCCTCAAGGCATGAAACCTGCAGGAATCATCAGTAAGTCCACAAATTTTGATTGGATACTGCTCAGCAGTCGCGTACTTTGGGAAAGGACCGACGGACATTCCAGTACAAAGGAGGGGTCATCGGCAACGTACAACACGCGTTCCATGAATAATCTCATCAGCTATTCTGGTTGATTGAGGGCTCCACTCTTCGGTACAGTGTCAGTCCCATAGGGCACGGTTTCACTCCTCACCAGCGCAAATGTCGTGGCACGATGTTCTGGATTAACTATTTCCGTGAGGATTGGACGGTTGACGCCAACTCCAGGCCAGCCGGCCAAAAAGCCAATTAAGACGGCCAGCAAGACAAATATCCCAATAGAATGCGCTTCTCTCGGCACGCACGTCAGCATGACTGTCATGAGGATGCACCGTACGACTATGCACACCTGCGCCAAGCATTGCCGACCATGGTTAGGGTACCGTGAATGTACAAGATCCCCTGTATACCCGATCAACGGCGCCACCAGCATTGCTGCAATCCAGCTGGAAGATACGATAAAAGAAGCCCACCAATCTGGAATGCCACAGTACTGAAAGTACATCGTAGAAAAGTGAATTGCAGAGCGAGGCACTCCGTTAAGCACTCCCTGAGCGCACAAACAGC